TATATAGGGGCTGGTTCAAATGATAATCAAGATTATCGTGTTAACTTTGTTAACCGATCTTAGCCATTAATTTGAATAATAAACGGTTGTGATTTAATGATATTTAAAAATTGATTATTAAATTAATATTTTCAATTAACATATGTGAACAAAATATCAAAGGGTATTTAGGTAAAAGTAATCTATCTTTAATACACGAATTGTCAGACATATGAACAACTGGTGTGTATCCTCAAAACACATCAAACAAAAAAGATTAGATATACGAACAACATGTGAACCGTATGAACATCTTATGTATTTTCAGGAGCCAACTCTGTTGTATGTACATGAACACCTACAAAGCTTGTGTTCACATGAATCACAGATATTGTTCATATTCATGTGATGTGATTGTGCATATGTATCGATATGAATATCTATTGCCTTTGATATGTGTTCATTTAAACGAATTCAAATGTCATACTAATCACTTACCAATAGGAATGCTTTGATCATTTTCTTCATTATCAGAATTCGAATTGCGAATGTAGTCGTAGACGATTTTGTCATTTCCATTGTTGTCAATCTGTTTTATAATAGGATTATCCATATTACTCGGACGATACGGAAATCTTTTACACTTACGAAAACAATATCATTATATGTAGAACATCATTTGTAAACTACGGTCATGAACACGTATGAAAATAAAATTCAATATTACATCATGATCAATTAGTGAGATCTTTAAGATTTGTAACTCCCAATTAATTATTAAGGAGTTATATAAATGTCAAATTACCTAATTACCCTTGTATTTAATATATGAGTTACATTTGAACATAAATAAAAGATGGAATATAATTGGTTAAGTTTGTTAGTATAGTTAACACAAATTTCTTGGTTAGTATTAGAACCAAGCTCTCTCTATATATATGTATATATGTGTGTGTGTGTGTGTATATATGTATATATATATATATATATATATTGTCAAGTTCAAATGTTAACCAAAGTTTTTGTGTTAACTTTATTAACCGATCTTGGTCATTCAATCTTTCAATAAACGGTTGTGATTAATCATGATAAAACCTTTTTTTTTAATTTAAATTTTCATAAAGATAAGTGAACAAAGTTGAAAAGGGTATTTAGGTAAAAAAAAAATTATGTAACTCCCATATCATTAATTGGGAGTTACAAAATCAAAAAATTCTATAATTTTTGTTAAATTATTTTTGCTAATATAAGAACTATATGAACACAAATATATATATATATATATATATATATATATAT